AATACGCGCTACACACAAATCGGGTCACATTGTTGGAGCACGTTTTTTTGTACAAGTCGACAGTGTTCTACCTTTTAGGAAAATAATTAATGGAAAATGAGTAATGGTAATGGTAAGGAGGTAGTGATGTTTTTGGTAAAGATTGATAAAGATTAGATCAAAGGTAATCATAATTATTAAAGTAATGCTAACGGTAATTGTAATGGTATTATTAATTGTGATATTGTGGTAATGGTAATGATAATAAAGGCAATAGCAATGGTAAGGGTAGATATATGGCTATGATAGAGAGGTGCATTGCGACCTTGGGTCTATTGTGCCCTCAGAACTCATCACACGATCTCGCCTACTCCTTAAGCCCAAATGGAATGAAGCAATTTTAGGGCGACAGAGTTTGAATGTGCTTAGCCTCTGGCCGAACAGTATCCGCGGGTCTCTCTTGGCAGCTGAAGCTCTTACTCTACAACTGGTGGGTATTGAACTCCGATGACGACACTCAGGGGACAGTAGGTGGAAGTAATGGTCTCCCGGTGAATTTCGTTCATTGCCAGTCTATACCAATAGTCTGTAAGTTATATCATGTCATAGACTGACTAGATCGAAACTAAAATTGCTAGGCGTTTGTAGTTCTGTACTTCGTCCTTCAGTTCGTGGAGTTACCTTCTGGCATGCCTAAATGGAGGTTCCGCTTCAAGCAGATGCCTGTTCGGGTGCACTCGTCTGTAGCAACCAACAAGAAAATGCTTGCTCAGTTTGATGGTAAGCTCCCTTACTACCAGCATGTGGTATTTGTTATGAAGCTGATGTATAGCTGACATCAGAAGGCCGTCTGGAGCTGTTCTGAGTGCTGCCAGTCGTCATTGCCGCGACAGCCTTCGTAGAGGCTTGAAGTATCTTTCCAAAGCTGATCGTTATAGAGGTGGCTTCCACGCTAAAATCCCACGAGGAATTGCTGATAGCATGGTATTTTTCTCTTGCACCGCCATCATCTGGCTTTTTTGGTGGAGGTAATGACCGTACGACCCGAAAAGCAGCCTGTACACCATGTTTTATATGTTGTGACAGGGTCGCTTTATAGGCTCCCCAAGTGCTGCTGGCTAGAGACTTGAGGACTTTGTTCCTGGCTCCCAGTTTATTACAGTTGGCTGAGGCGTGCGCTGAAAAAGAGATAAGGCTGTCAAACATGACTCCAGCCCACTATACTTCAAACTGATCAGTAATAGACGAAGTCTGAAGTAAACGCCTGTGGAAACTGCGTTTCGGGACCAGCTNGTAAGATACTTGACGTGGAGCTTTTGTGATGAGGTGTAATTGATTCACTAAGTTCACATTCACCAAGGAATTTTCAGCAAATATTCCTTTGCAAATACTTCACTGTGCAAGAAGCTTATACAATTGGAGCTTCTCGGTAATAAAGCAAGCCTTCATACATATGTATATGGATCGTCTAAGTATCCTCGCCGACGCATAACGACCAACTGCGCGACACGAATGCCTAAATCGTGAGCAATGGTTTGCCCCATTGGAGCAATGCGGTCGATGGTCGATGCTTGCATTTAGGGTGCTGCCCAATATTTGTATGTTTAATATGTGTGTATGTATGTATGCAATGAGACATGGAGTACATTAAATTGTATAGCAGCCGCCAGCAATCAACTAGCCAGGCCAACAAGCTTTGAGTCAGTCTTCGTCGCACTTTTGCAAACAACAGTCGCACTTTGACGGATAAAAACGCACATAATTTTTTTCTATTTGTCATTTAATTGATTGTAGGTGCTTGCTGCCTGCTACACAGGCCATGTGTATGTGTGTGCAATACTTTTTGCATAGTTACTCGGGTTTTCCGGTGTTCTCTGACCTCCTACTCGTCTGCGTTTGGCCTGTGCGTGTGTGTGCGAATTAGATTTTACCAGTGCTTTTGGAAGTGATAAGGAATAGGAAATTTCGATCGCGCGCGGCGTTGTTAGTTTGTATTAGAAAAAACATAAAAAATATAACCTACCTATACATATATTTGTAACGGTTTTAACTTTGAAAAATTAATTTTGGAAATTTGTTGTTTCTAATTAATAAAATATAAATTGTGCTATGTAAAACAGATGCACAAATGAGCATTGAATTGAATACAAATTTTAAAAGCGAATGCCGCCAAATTACTTCACATTAGGTAAACATACAAACAAAGCATATTTTAAAATATAAAATTTATTATAAACTTATATGCATAGCGCTAGCTTAGGAAAAGTTTTTTATATTCAATGAAAGAAAAATTTGCTAAGCCCAAAGGTCGCACCGAAAATCCGATAAGGCGAAAATAATATGCAAACATTTAATCAAAATCGAATCGATACGAATCATAATTCGTATGGAATTTTACTTTGCTTTAAACACGCAAAATGTTGCATTCAAAGTTTTGCGAAATACTTGAAGAAAATGGCTACAAAAGGTTTTTTCTTTCGTGTAAAATTTGTAAAACGGGACTTAAGCATTTTTCACACACATTTCTATGCCAATCATACATATGTTATTGCAAGCAACTTTTTTCAAAACAAAAACCGTCAGAATTCAGGCTGACAGTGCGTATACGCAACTTTTTTAAGCGACATTTTTTCCAAAATTTTCTTTTTGATGCAGAACTGCTCTACGAATATTTCTGCATGAAAAAGAAAATCTTAAAAAAATTGTCGCTTACGTTATTTTGACAGCTAGGGGTCGATATGTCACCCTTTGGGCAAAAGGCATCATTTCACGAAAGAAAATGTGTTAAGCTTGAAGAAATAGATATGCATATCCTTTTGCAATCAATATTTTATCACACATTTTTATGCGTATTCTATGTTTCAATGTTGCAATGGCGCAACTTTTCAAAAGTCATCGCGTGGTGGTCATTTAACGACGAATCGGGCAACACCCTTTTATCGGCAGGTTTGACCGCGAGCGGCGTTCGCACAAAAAGTGTTCATATCAAATAGAAAGTATGCTTTCAGAAAAATACATATGTAGGTATGAACATTAGGGTGCACCACTCTCCATGCCAAAAAAAAGGTAATGTTTTTTCAACGGAAATAAAGAGTTTATTATATTTTAAGACTTCTACCAAACAATTTTGGCAAATAATAAGGTTTACGTGAACTACTAGAAAACACCGTGCGACTGCAAATTTTACACAAAAAAAAAGTTAACATATTTGCGCAAATAGGAGCCAAAAATAGTAAAACTTCGTTTGTTATAGTTTTTATCTCTGACGTCGGGATTTTTTAAGGACTTCGGAATTTTAAATTTATGTTTAATTCAAAAAATGATTTAAAAAATTCGGTGGAATATAGAATAACAATATGTGTGTCAAATAAAAGAGAAAATTGTGTAGAATTAAAACAGATACAATTTGTTGGTGCATGAGGACGAATAGGTATTAAAAATGCCCTTTTAAAATGTCATCCTTAAATATCCCTGAAAATTTGGAATATATTTTTTTTTTTGAAAAAATGTTTTTTATGAACTAATATATACACATCCTCGTCCTTCTTGCTCTATTAGCTTAATAAAATAAAATAAAATTAAAAGGCGTCTGCAATAAAACATATTAGTCCTCGTGAACCAAAAAAAAAATTTTTAATTATACAGAACATCTCTTTCATTTGGTACACATAATGTTATTCTACATTGCACGGAATTTTTCCAGTATTTGTTTAAATTAATTATATCTTTGAAATTTCATAGCCTTTAGAAAAAAATCCTGCGTCAGAGATGGCCTTCGTTTTTGTGAGAAAATTGATAGTTTCGTGTGTTTTGAAATTTTTTCTTTTTCACATGGTGAAATACATCCAAAAATCGGGGTTTTTAAAAGCGTTTTAGCTTAAAATGTCTGCATAAACTTTTGTAAAAAATTTTATCAATGGAATCAATATAATGAAATTTTTTGAGTTATTTTCATTTCTTAACATTTTTTCGTAATATTCAGCCGGAATTCTTAAAATATTATAATTTTTTCTGATTTCGGTGGAAAACTTAATTTTTTTTGGTGATACACCCTAATGTGCATACTTACAAATTTGCACAAACATACATGTATACATAAGTGCATATGCATGTATCATACATATGTATGTTTATGTGTATGCAGTTAGCTTTTATATAGCACGAATCAACTTTTTTAAAGCGTCGTCCAGCGTGTGCGAATATTAATAATGGAAAATTTTGACGCTGCGTGTTGAATGAAAGTAGGAGTACACCTTACATATGAGAGTTTTCAAAAATTTACCTATTCTCGACATTTTTCTAAAAGCATCCAGTTATGTGGAAAGGTCACAAAGTTCGCTGAATTGAGAACTTGGTGCAGCTAAAGACGAATTTTTTACCTAGCACCACCACCTAAATCGATTCAATATCATTCCACTTATCTCTTAATAAACCAGTGAATCTGGGCTTCGATTATGGAAAAAATTGAGTACCCCCGAGGGTTGAGTTCCGCACCAGGTTAGGTTAGGTTAGGTGGTGTAGAAAAACTTGTGCGCCCAAGTAGCAGCTAAGTGTCATTTTGATACCATAAACGTCAAGTAAATATGTAAGTATAAATCAGCGTCGTTGATAAAGTTGTTGTGGAGGCTTATATCAGCGAATACTTGTAACGATGTTAACTCATATGATCTAAGTATAGTCCCTGCAGTACGGGGGAGTGACTACAGGACTGCTGAATCGGTAGCTACCTGATAAACACCGTCAATTACCGACCGACTACTTGTAGTGTATTTCATCGACTACTTTTACAAGGCAATGTCCTAGGCGGTAGTCACCATCGACTCTCTCTGCACTACCGGGAGTTACTAAAGTAGTCACTTGGGTGATTTATGGGCGCCCTCTGTCGTAGTTTTTCGCTATTCTACTTACGACTGGTTCGACTCTGCACTACCATGTGCACTACCACCGGTTAATAGAGGAGCTACTTACCTTGGAGTCGGTGCAGTAGCGGTTCAAAAGTAGCGATTGACTCCAGCAGTACTGGGGGGGTATTACTGCTGGTCACACTGGTTTACAACAAAAATTTTCCATGGATGCCATTATCCAATTGCTATGTAGAATTGCTCGGTGATTTCAAAAATCGAGTTAATTTTTGTTTCTATGGAACGTTTTCGATTCAGCTTAAAAAAATAGTGGTTCTACTTAATCACGTATATCCTACGAACCAATTGAACAAGCGTAATACGATATACGGCAAATGAAAGCCAATGAAATTCTCCATAAGCCGTATATAAATCATTTTTCGATAGGCCTGATAGTTTCTGAGAAACGACCGGTTTGGGATTTCTTATTAAGTTTTGTGTTCTCTTAGAGTTGTACACAAACCTCGTTAGATTGGATATACGGCAGCCCGCTGCCAGCCGATAACTTTGATCTGATTTCTGAAGGTTGTGGAGAAAGGTTTCACTGTAAAACCCACTTTGGCTAACGAGTCTGCAGCCTTGTTTCCGGAAATGTTGCGATGGGCAGGGACCCAAACCAAATCTAAATCGAGCTGACTACTTGCTGCATTTAAAAGAGTCCTACACTCACTTATCAATTTAGATTTTCTAGTAAAAACGCCAGGACCTTAATAGCCGCCTGGCTGAACGCCTCACCATCAACTCCGTGGTTATTTTTCAGTTACAGCCAACTGATAGCATATATGCATGTACGCAATTTTTCAGGCGGTGCTCCAACAGTCGCATTGACCGAGTGAGCAAAGCACTGGGGTACCGTTACAGAGATCCGAGGTTCGAGTCGAGGTAGTTTCATAAAATTTTTATGATAAATATTGAAGTGCATATATAGCGATCTAAAGGGTAGTGTATGATAAAAGAAAACGTGGTCTACCCGGAAAGGACGCGGTAGGACCGACTCCTCCTTTTAGTTCACAAGAATTATTCTTAGCAACTACAACGAAAAAGTCCGTGTACATACGTATCATTTAATTTTTACCATATGGCAAACAAAAAAACAAGTACCCTCATACATATGTATAACAAAATCAATAAAACCAACACTCCCGTTGCGAAACTGGCAAAAAAAAACCAACCAGTAAGAAATGCCACAAAACAAGCTGTAAGAAAGAAATTCCGTGAAGTTGCTGCTTATTTTTTTCTGCATTCTGTTGCAGCAATTTTTGAGCTTTCAGATTGCCTTCACACTACTATGTGTACCGTTATTTACCACGTTTTTTGTATAACGTTATGCTTGCTAGCTGTTCACTTGACATCCATTCACTTGTTCGCTTGTTTATTCATTTTCTTTTATGCTGTTATTTCGCAAGTCAATTTCAATTTTGCGCTCTTGCGGTGCTTATTGATTTATTCCTTGATTGTAGTTATTGTTGCTGTCGCGCAAACTATGAAAATATATGTACATAGATGTCGTAGATATGAAGCAGGGACAGCAACAACACGTGGTAACAACAATCAATACAAAGCTGATGGTAAGCCATATATATGTATGTACATACTGTCACTGTGGCATCGCTTTATCCTTTCATCATCACTGGCATACACATGCGCATGCCGACATACATATATGTACATACAAATGTACACACATAGTGTATGTATATATTGTAAGTACACGTGCATGAGGAAATCCCTTTTGAAACGCGTTATCTGGAAAGTCCCATTCGCTTTTTGGTGCGCATTTTTCGCCAACTCACCGTAAAAGCGTCTCAACTCGTGCAGCATGACTCGCCTGCAATGACAACGTGGCTAACGTCAGTCAGTTCATCATTGTCGTCATCATGATTGTAGTGGCGCTCACGCTTTGGCATACATACATACATATGTATTCGTGCACATAATTTCCTTTAAATGCGCTCTCGAAGCTTCGCACTCTTATTTCATTCTTATGTCTCATTCTCATATCTCCTGGGAGTTTTAATGATTTTTGTATGTTTCAGAGCTTGCTATTAAATTCTCTTTTTTCATGCTTATTAACTCTTCACCGAAATTTGAATTCCGCTATTTATCAACATACTTATTTAGTTACTTATGCGCACGCATGGACATACATATACTTATACATACATACACATACTCCAAATTGATGACTAACTGAGGGTAGTGCCAAGTAGATGCAACTTGTGACTGACTGCATCAGAACAGGAACGTACGATCGAGCTAAGGCTCAACCGCCCTCCGACGAAATACT